GGCTCTTCGCCACCAGCCGCCCTTCCCTCCAGCCTTCACCCAAAACCCCAACCATGAGGCTGAAGCAGACCCCAAGTCAGAATTTCTGCCCTCCTTCGACCCCCACAAAAAGACCCCGAAGGGGGAGACTCTCTGCAGTAACACAAGTGTTCATTGCACATATCTGGCCCAGGGGCCATAGTTTGAGGAGCCCTGATTTAGTGCAATATAAAAAATGCAAACACCTTTTCTGTGGACCACCAAAATTTTCTCATGGACCACCAGTTGGTGACCACTGCTCTAGAATACCTCATATGTGATAGGAATCAAAATGTATGCATGCATATGCATTACAGAATTTAGAAAGCAAATCAATATATATGAATGTTAAATATACAATAAACATTAACTCAAGTATCTTCCCTATAAATATGAAAAAATCTTCCCATCTTTAGTCATGCTTATAAACAGCATCTCTAACATGGTATCCACAAATGCCAATAACTGACCCTTTTTATGTTAAAGTCAGCTCCCTCTGACTTTATCATAAAAAGAAAACAATCTTGCTTGCAGTAAAACAACAAATCAGCCTCCGAAATCCCATTCATATCAAGGAATGACTCTATTGTAATGCATAGCTATAGCCCATTGACTTCTTTCTAAACGTACTTACCTGCCAAGAAAAAAGACAATGGAGTGAAATGGGAAAAGTAGCAGAGGGCCAGAGGCTGGTATATAGAATAACAGAGTTGGAAGGGACCTTGGAGGTCTTCTAGTCCAACTCCCTGCTTAGGCAGGAAACCCTACACCACTTCAGAGAAATGGTTATCTAATCTCTTCTTAAAAACTTGCAGTGTTGGGACATTTACAACTTCTGCAGGCAAGTTGTTCCACTGATTAATTGTTCTAACTGTCAGGAAATTTCTCCTTAGTTCTAAGTTGCTTCTCTCCTTGATTAGTTTCCACCCATTGCTTCTTGTTCTACCCTCAGGTGCTTTGGGGAATAGCTTGACTCCCTCTTCTTTGTATGAAGAGCTGTGAATATATGAAGAGCTGGAACCTTGCTGAGGCCCATTACTAATTATATCATCCAGCAATGACCTCACATTTCATTCTGTGATAGCAATAAGCATCCCATTTAAAATTGTCTTCTTTTTTACTTATATTCAGTCTTTAGAAATAGCTTTCTCCGGAAATAGGCAAAGGATACTGTCAGATGTAAATGCCTTATTCTCCAATGTGTAAATAATGTATATATGGAACATCAGAGGTTAACTTATTCTTTGGACTTTAATGTATTCATAACTTACCACTCCCATTCCTAGCTCCACCCCTTGTATATATAAGGAGCCACCCTCACCATTCTCGTTGCTTCTACCTTGAATATTCAGTGAATATAGAATGCCTATCATAATTAAAAAGAAATATATATAAAGCTCTAACTCCTATTATCTTTATTGAGTCTGATCCTGAAAATATTGCAACAGATACTGCAGTTTGTGTGCTGTAGCTTATAGTTATATGAACATCTACATAATAATGCATGATTGTTGTTATTAACTATCTTCTGAAGCTTGTGCAAAAACAGAAGGGGACAGAGTAAAAACAAGATGTCTATTGTCATATTCGCAAAAATAGAGCTACAGGTTACATGTTAAAGCATGCGGAAAATACCACCTCTGCTATTTTATTGTACAAAATTTCATCTACTGTACATCCCTGTTAGTGAAGTGAAGTAAACTGTGATTAGCTAGAGATATTTTAGCCGGACTATAAATCAGTAAGTTTGGTCTTTGGGTAGATTTTTTGTATAATAAAACTTGAATAGCCTTGTATTTTTGCATGTTCTCTCTTCTTATTTGGTGTATTTGGAAGAAAATGCACTACACTATTTAACATACAAATGGACCAGCACTGAACCACAGAATCCTTCAGCAAAATAATTCTTTACAGAGCAGATCAATTGTGCACATAAAGGCTGGCAAATATTTATAGCAGCCCACATGTGAACATTTCACCCTCCAAACACACTTATGATAGACTTATTCAGTTTATACAACCACGGCAACCTGAAAATTATATCATCTCAGTCTGTGGTTATCATTTTTACAGTTCATTCATCCAGGAACTACCATAAAGCATGATTATGATGTGCTGTCCACTGCACTTCAGTTCTGTCAAAAAAGTAGGATTGGTGCCACCCATACAATCTGTTAAATTGGGCGAATGAGGAAGCAGAAGCAAGGTCTTCAGTAACAACAGCTCTTTAATTCAGAGTGTGAATCCAGCAACACATACAGTAAACAGCTCCCTTTATATACTTCTCCGGCCAGGGAGTTAGCCAATCACCAACGTGCTATTGTTCTTTTAAACTTCCCGCCAAAACTATTGTACTACATTACACAATCCACAACCCTCCTCCCATTGTGATTCTTTCATAGATGATATCTCCAATACTTTTGATATGAGATATGTTGTCAGATTCTTATTTAGAAGTTTTCAGATACAGGGGGTTGCTATTGTTTCTAAAGACTTTATGAAATTATACAGAATCTGGGTATTTTTGTTAGTTTTGTTGTTTTTAGCTCTGGTTGCCTTTTACTGTTTTTATTCTGTTTTAATTGTAACTACACAGGGACATTTATGTAAGATGGGCAGCCAATACTGTAAATAATTAAATTAGTAAATAAATAAACAGAAAGTTCTCCCACCTTTGTGTTATCTATCATATTTGTGTAATACTTACCCCCAACCCCTTTATCCAGGTTGAACAGGACAGGACTCGGAACAGATGGTGTGGCATTCTACCCAATAGTATTATTCTCCAAGCCAATGTGAATTAATTTGTGAATACTGACATGATTCATCTACCCTGTTTTCCCCAAAATAAGACATCCCCTGATAATAAGCCCAATCAGGCTTTTGAGCACATGGCAAAAAGGCCAAGCGCCAGTGGTGAAATCCAAATTTTTTTACTACCGGTTCTGTGGGCGTGGCTTGGTGGGCGTGATGTGGCTTGGTGGGTGTGGCTTGGTGGCCCTGGCAGGAAAAGGATACTGCAAAATCTCCATTCCCTCCCCACTCCTAGGGAAAGGATATTGCAAAATCTCCATTCCCACCCCACTCTGGGGCAGCCAGAGGTGGTATTTGCTGGTTCTTCAAACTACTCAAAATTTCTGCTACCGGTTCTCCAAACTGCTCAAAATTTCCGCTACTGGTTCTCCAGAACCAGTCAGAACCTGCTTGATTTCACCCCTGCCAAGCGCTTATTTCAGGGTTCAGAAAAATATAAGATAGGGTCTTATTTTCGGGGAAACATGGTAACAATTTTATTAATTTGCCCAGAGTTTACAATTTTATTAATGAGAATATCATGAATGTCTTTAAAAATGCTGGAGGTCAAGACAGTTATCCCTGTTAGAATCTTCTTAAAGTTAGCCTGGCATAATTCTTTGTGACAAGTTCATGCTGGCTCTTGTTAATTACGGCCTTTTTATCTATGTGCTTAGAAACACGTTTAATTATCTGCATGAAGGCCCTGCCCAGTATAGATGTCAATTCCTTCTGTTTTTGAAAGAATAGGCTAAAACAGACATTAACAAACTGGAGACAGTTCAGAGGAAGGCTATCAAAATAGTGAGGAGATTGGAAAACAGATTCTGTGAGGAACAGTTAAAGGAGTCAAGAATGTTGTAATTCTTCTGGCCCTGAACACTGAATTCATCCCAATCTTAATTCATGTACATGTGAGTCTTTTAACTCATTCAGTTAAGGGTCTTTTTTGTCTAGAGTTGCAGCTTCTTCCTTTCACCAACTTCACAACAATGGCCAGCTAAGGTCTTGTTTCTCTTCTGAGAGAAGAGATGAAATATAAGTTAAGATTCTTCTCAACCTTTACTAATTCAACTCCTTGCAACAGACCTGTACATGTCTTTTTTTTCCTGATTTATTTTAATAAGCCCTTTTTATGTTCTGGGCATTTCTCGTAAGTCTCAGTTCATTCTGAGCTTTAACCTTTCTGGCATGGCATCTAGAGTTTGCGACCACTACAGTGTGTCCTCCCTTGACTCCAGTATATATCCCTTTTACTTTCCAATAATTTTAAGAAAATTCTGTGTTTATATACCTTACTGTAGTCCTTCTCTCATTTTTCCTCCAAATAGGTATTATTTGCAATTGTACTTTCAATATCTTGTTTCGCTGGACACTTTCTGGACACTTTTCTTCTTCAAGATTTCATGTCATTGGAGCTGATCTATCTTCCTTTTGAATTTTTCAGAAACTACATATCCCCCATGTTACTTTTTCCACCTTCTGACAAATGAAATTGTCAGTAAGAAACAACAGGAATTTATTGGATACCTGACTTTTAACAGCATTTGATCTCTAATAGATATTAGGATATTTCAAATCTGATAATGGTACCCGTGTTTCCCCGAAAATAAGACCCTGTCTTATATTTTTTTGAACCTCGAAATAAACACTTGGCCTTATTTTTGGGGAGGTCTTATTATTTTGGGGCACGTGGAACAAGATGGGGCTCTTCTTGCCATCTCACCTGATTTCCAGCTCTGCGTTTAAATATTTTCAGGGAGGGCTTATTTTCAGGGGAGGCTTATTTTAGCGCATGCGCTCAAAAGCCTGATTGGGCTTATTATCAGGGGATGTCTTATTTTTGGGGAAACAGGATATTACCTTCAGAACTACATCTTTAGAAGTTAGTCATCTTACACAGAAGGACCATATCCATAACTGCTCCATATCTAAAGTCGGTAATAAACTTCCACGACAACACTTTTATTCTTACCCAGTCCCAACAGTATCTACATGCTCCAGTTTGTAAATTTCTTGTGCAGGTACAGTATATACTTTATGTACAATGCAAACTACTCCCTTTCTGTTGAATTCTATTCCACCTGATTAAGATGTAGCCTTTTAGAATCAAGATGCCACCATCCCACCAAATTTCAATTATGCCTATTACATTATATTTTGTATCGTGTTTTAAGTCCCATGTTAAGTTTGTGTCCCACATTTTTTCTTTTTTGTTATTTCATCATTTCTTTCCATTATGTTCATATTTTGTTATCGACTGCCATTTCTTGACTTGCTATTACTTATATAATATTACAAATGCATATTTGTAATATTATATATCATACTTGAAAAGCATGAAAGCATTTTGTAGCACTTCACATAATGCAATCATTCCAGTAAATGCATATAAGCAAATGAATTCAAGCCACAGGAACATTCTTCATCCAACTCTGATTCAGAGCAGTTTTAAGTGCATAGATTTCTTCTCCTTTTTGTTCCAATCACCCCTCCAAATGAGCTCTACAGAAACTCTGGGGAACAGGAAGAAGCTGCAGAGAAAAGAAAGGATTTAATTTTTTACAGAGGGATTTATTTTACTGCTGGACAGACTTGTGGATAGAATCACACATCTGATTGATATAATGTTTTCTTGCTGATTTGCTAACTTTTGGCTTCTGCCTTTTTAGTCATTTTTATTATCACAATTAATGCAAGATTAATACAAGATGGTTATTGATTAGTGCAAAAAATCTTCTAAACTACATCATTCAACTGGAAACAGAGTTGGCCATATTTTCAAATGTTTACAATTAAGAACAACAATGGCATGTCTCTGTATAGTTTTACTAGCTACAGAATACTCTATTGCCACAATAGAGTTCCTATAAATAGAGAGGAAAACCACAATAAGCAGATAAAAGTTAGACAAAAACTTGAGTTTGGTACTTTTAATGTTATTTGAAGTTCAATAGGCTTAGCCAAGTTCAACACTTTGATTCCATTAAGACAAAGCACAGGAGCATAACTACAGTTCCTTGAGTCCCAAACAGGGGTGAAATCCAGCAGATTCTGACAGGTTCTGGAGAACCGGTAGCAGAAATTTTGAGCAGTTCGGAGAACCGGCAAAAACCACCTCTGGCTGGCCCCAGAGTGGGGTGGGAATGGGGATTTTGCAATATCCTTCCCCTGGAGTGGAGTGGGAATGGAGATTTTGAAGTAACCTTCTCCTGCCACGCCCACCAAGCCACACCATGCCCACCAAGCCACGCCCACAGAACCGGTAGTAAAAAAAATTTGGATTTCACCACTGGTCCCAAAGCAAAGCTCTCAGATGGGACTGAGGAATGGGGAATCCCAACATTTGTTATCCATTAAAGAGGATGCATACCTGTCCGGGTGCCTGGGCTTCCACACACAAATGCCTTAGGGAGGAATGACAACAGCTGCAACTGTGGTTGTTCCCTTTTTGGTGGGGAAGGAGGTCTGCTAGGATAACACAACTATGAAATCTACACCAGGGGTCTCCAACCTTGGCAACTTTAAGCCTGGCGGACTTCAACTCCCAGAATTCCAGAGTCAGAATTCTGGGAGTTGAAGTCCACAGGCTTAAAGTTGCCAAGGTTGGAGACCCCTGATCTACACAATCTTTTTTTTAAAATTTGATTTATATGCCGCCCTTCTCCAGAGACTCAGGGCGGCTTACAATGCATTAAGCAATAGCCTTCATACTTTTGTATATTCATAAAGTCAGCTTATTGCCCCCACAAACCGAGTCCTCATTTCACCTACCTTAGAAAGGATGGAAGGCTGAGTCAACCTTGAGCCTTGGAGAGATTCGAACCAGCAGTAATTGCAGGCAGCTGTGTTAGTAACAGGGTGCTTAGACCACTGTACTATCAAGGCTCTTGCTTGATAGTATCTGTGCTGCAAGAATCCAGAAGACTATTAGATAGTGATAAATATGTAATTTTTCTGTATCGTTTTGCTACCATTAGCTGTCACCCTGGGGCCTAGACAGTAATTATCACACTCATCACATTGGAAGGCAAATGTTTTGGTTTCTCTGTAAGTACAAATCATGCCAATCTGCAATAGACCATGATAAGGACATTTCTTATTTAAGATTGAAGAGCCATCCAGAGTTCCCTGTGCCTGCAGACTCCAAGGTGACCACCACCCTGCCTTGACTATATTGAAACTACCAACCAAACTATAAATTGGTTTTTGAAAATAAATGACTTGAAGCCAAATGGAGGACAATCCTTAACAGAAGCATTGGTGACAAAATTATTCCTAAAAACATCTACCTCTAATCTTAATCCTAATCAACCTCTACCATCAGAATTGTCTTATCAAATATCACTTCCATTTCCTTATATTTCATCTCAAGGTCTTTTAATGTACTCACTTAATGTGTTATTACCAGAAGCTTGTCTCTCTCACTGAGTAACTGTCTATCTGTATTGACATCCTAAGATATTAACTTCCAGTATAATGATTCCATCTTAATTCAGAACAATATTCAAATTGTTCTAATTCATATATTTAAAATATGCAAGGAACCACCATACATGGTCAGGAAACTACCCAAAATCCAAAGTGCCAGCCTGAATTATAAAATTTACAAAAGGCAAGCATCAATTTTTCAAATACACATCTACCCTTCTTTAGCCGCAGGAAACCCAAGTATCACTGTTCCCTATTTTGCAATATATAAATTCTCCTTTAAATATGCATATGGAAGGCAAGTCAATATCTGTGATTTCCATTTTTTAAAACCAAACTTACTTTTTCTACTTTCCTTCAGGAAGCTTTAAGGCAACTTTCCAACCTGGGAACCTACCAGGTATATTACACTATAACTTCCATAATTGCCAGCCAAAATAGAGTCCAATGTATCTGTTAGGCAACAGGTAGGGAAAGGCTGTCCTAAAAATAATCTCAGTAATTCTACATTCCAAGCTGCTGCCTTCTGGTCCATACTGATAAAAGGTTTTTTGAATAGCTACCAGAACCTATATCTTACTTTTCATTTTTTTAATAATAGATTAGATTGATCAACGCCTATTAGTTCTGCTGATGTGGCCAAAGAATGTCCAAAGAGCAAAACATGAACATTTGCTTTTCAAGAGATCAGATAACTTCTCCATTTGCTAAGTTTAAAAGCCAGGCTTTGTACTTCTCTGCAAACCAATACTGGGATCACTACTGATCATAAATAAGTCACAACACCAAATAGGCTTTTTGATAGCAAGCAATCCAAGCAAAAAATACCTTTGTTTCCCACAATAAAACTGCCTGCCAATCCACAAAGCCTATCTCGGTTTTCTTGAAAACATATTGAAAGGAATGTGGTTCACTCTGAGAATTTCAATCCTGCTCTATAAAATGTTAGAAGAAAATTATTACTATCCATTAGGTACGAGCCTCCCAATCCTGCCTTGATAACAATCAATCAATGTGCAATCAGAAGCAGTAAGGCCAGATGAAACCCACGTCTAAAACTGAAAAGTATTTTATAAGGAGTTTAGCTTCTGCCTCGTCTCTTATGCAAGGAGAAGAGAAGAAAACAAGAGAAAATAGGAAAACAAAAAGTTTCAGAAGAGAACATCCTAGTTATTGTTCTGTGCTCCAGCCTGCTCTTGGTTTGTCAACAGTTTTCTTTACTATATCACAACTTGTCTGTTACAGTGTGTCTCATATAGAACATCCTGAAAAAGAAGCCATGTATCTCCAGTTGGTGTAAAATGTGGAAGATACAGCTATTAACTGGTACAAGATACCAGGATCATATGAAGCCAATATTAAAAGAGCAACATTGGTTGCTAATTGTTTTCTAGGCACACTTTAAGATTGTTAATTAAGGGTGTGCAAAATATTTCAAATTCAATCCATCTTGAACAGGGGTGAGTTCTACTTACCTTTACTACCAGTTTACAACGGGGCTGCGCGCGTGCACACACTCTTCTGCGCAAGCGCAGAAGCATTTTGATGATGTCGGGGTTGGTGGGCGGAGCCTCTTGCCGGTTTTACTACAGGTTCTATAGAACCGGTGCGAACCGGGGGCAACCCACCACTGATCTTGAATCCAAAACCCCAATGTCAAGTTTGAAACACTATCTTTTCAATATAAAATAGCTGTTTTAAGTGCAAAATAGGTTATTTGATCATTTTGGAAGGATTTCAAGCTGGAATTATTTGTTGATGGATTTGATTTATTTACAGTAGCTGCCCATCTCACATAAGTGATTCTGAACAGTTTACAATAAAATAAGTAAAAATAATTTTAAAAAACTTTTTAAACAGCCGAGTTCCATAAATAAAGTAAGTCGAGAGACTGGTTCTATCACACCCCTGGGCACCTTGCAGGGCCTTGCAAAAGACCAGTAGGGCAGGGCTAAATTAAGAGTGTAATGATGTTCCACAGGGCAGGTATCACGGCAGAAAAAGCCCAGAACATGCCCCTCCTACCAGACCAGGTTGGATGGGTAGAAACTATTGGGAAAACATGGTCCCCAAAATAACCCAATCCTAGGCCATGAAGAGCTTTAAAAGTAACTGCCAGCACCTTGAATTGCACACTAGAAGTCAATGCAACTCACAAAGCAGTGATGTCACATGCACCAAACAAAAAATACAATTAATTGCCCATGCTGCCACATTTTACACCAGCTGAATCTTCCAGCTGCTCTTCAAGGGCAGCCCCATGTAGAGCACATTGCAATAGTCTAATCTGGAGGTCACAAGGATATGAGTGACCATGACCAGAGTAGCTTTGTTTCAAGCAAAATCTCTCCAAACTAGCATAGATTTTAATTTTTTATTAACTGCTTTTTTAGGATCGTTGGTTTGTTGTTAATTATTTTATTCAAAATTATTTATATTCTTTTATAAACCATTCTGGGTTCCTTCACTATGATCATCATGATTGTGTTATATGTGCAATTACATTGAAAAGATATAAAATACCAATTATAAACTTAGCCAGATGGTGTCATCTAAAAAAAAAATCTTGCAACAGTGGACTAAATATCAAAAACATTAATTTTGCTTCCAAACAGAACTACAAAAATATGCTTATGACTCATTTATTTTTTTTAAAAAAAGTCCTCAGGCTGCATCATAGAAACCTACCTATTTTAAAAGGATAATATTGTCTAATCATGATAAATTCTGTTTTTGTGGAGTATAAATATGAAGGCATATTTGTCTTCATCTCAATGGGCCATGTAGCAATTAATTACTATGTATTGGTAGGGCTGGGCACTACCATAAGAGGTACTATTGCACTATATAAAGAAAGTTGCCACAAGCAAGCCATCTCTTCTGAGTGATAAAGCAGCTGTTCACTCTGAAAAGTTTAGTGTGGTTGCTTCAAAAAATTTTCCCCAGTTGTTTCCACATACAGTACATCAATGGGCACAAGTCAGTGGTGGGATTCAAAAATTTTAACTACCGGTTCTGTGGGCATGGCTTGGTGGGTGTGGCATGGCTTGGTGGGTGTGGCTTGGTGGGCATGGCAGGAAAGGATACTGTAAAATCTCCATTC